AAGTGCTTCACTGAGCTAAAATTTCAACATTAAACAAATTTAAAACATCTCAAGATATATTAAATTAAAACAAAATCTAAATTAAAAAATTCCTCAAAGTGTCAAAGGCTCTGAACATTTCAATATCTGAACAACTCGATATCTTATGGAGAGTCCTCCATTACAGTCCTCCATTTTTAAAAACCAATTCTGGTTCATCCGTTTCACTCAACAATCTGCTTTCCCCCTTCTCATGCTCCGTTGCCGCCGTGCTTTTTTGACCATGAGCATATGAAAACAAAAGCACTGCGCATGCACATTTTACCCATATGCTATTGCGATATTTCATTTTCTTATTGTTGCCTAACATTGTACAGGTATTACCGTGAACGGTATAATATGGCCCAGCCCTAATATTCCTACCTGGAATTTGTAGACTGCCATTTCACCCTCTTTATCCTGCTGCCTCCTCTGCAGCCTCATTCAGTCAGGAACTCTGACAGTCGTCCATGAGGCTTGGGTCCTGCGACCATTACCTCTGTGGTCACCAGCAGTTGTTCCAGGCTGCAAACGACCTGTTTGCATGTATTTTTAAAAAAGTTGAAGATGACCACAAAAGTGGCATCTTCCATTGATTTCTTAACCTGTATGTTACAACAATAAAATTAGTCACCTAGAACATTGATGAACTACATTCTTAAAAAATATAAAGTCAATAACAATTGCGTAATTTGCTGAAATAAAAAGAATATTTAGAAATAATGCACTGACTTTCGTAGCTTGGCCTGCAATGTCTGCATTGGCAGAGGAACCTGCCAAATAGTCTATGTGGTGGTACACAGTAGTGAACTGCCCTGGTTTCAGAAAGGTCTCCAGAGCCCTTGAAACATGTGGGAGCCACCTTGTTCCCTTCACCCCACTGGGCACCAGCACATTTACTCCCAAGTCAGCCCCAATGACCCTGAGCTCTCTCATTGATTTTGGGCTGAAATGATACGTCTTCCAAAGTAAATGGAGAAGGTCATACAACTGCCTGATCATTGGAATGTCCCATCTGCTCTATAAAAGAAATTAACCCACAGTGACTTTAGAGTGTCAGTCATTTCTAGTCTTACCTGTGAGGCATACAGTGAAATGGCAAAATGTGGTCACCTGCCTCCTGCTGCAGAAGGGCTATGACACCCCCTGCTGCCAAATTAACAGCAGCATCATCAGCACCCATAGCAATGATTTTCTCCAACCAGTTACTGCACTGGTCCCCAAGAGCAGCAAATGCTTTCCTCTGTTCGTTTAATGGCAGTTTATTCTCCAGTGTACGAGGATACTGCCACCCGCTGACTGAGCGAATGAACCCTATTGTAAACTGAATTAGCGTCATTACAAACGTGTGTTAAATTTGATTTAGAGATAGTCGAGTGTGTTTATGCTTGTCTGTGTGGAGAGGATTGATTGGAATAGTGATGATGATGTCCACTTTCACTGTCAATTATCAGTAAACACTTCATCTGGCTGATGAATCTTCACGTGACATATTACAAAGTCTGTATTATTAACTCTGTAATTAGGCGCCATTCTTCTTATTTTACGGCACTGTTGTTCAATCGGGGAACGCTCTCTGTTGAGGAGAAAAGCATGAATTTGTTTGTATATGGATTATCCATTGTTTAAATGTCCCGGTATCGAAAAGGAGGCAGAGCTGTTGAGAAATGCTAGGAGCTAACTGGCCGCTAACCATGTCATTCAAATATATTGAATGTCGCAATGTTGGCAAAGAGAGGAAGTCACGTAAGATTTGCGCATGCGCATGCGGGGTATCTGCGGGGTTTCTGGTACGGATTGGGTAGCGACACCGCACAATCACATAGAGAGCAGTGGTGCATACCGATGACAACATTAACCCTCGACTTGGGTTGTCTTAAAGAGACACTATACCACTGTGACTGTTACAACCTGTTCAGCTGTCGAGTGATTAATTGCAAAAGTACATGGCGGCAGGACATCACAGCAGAAGCATACACCATAATGTGTTGTACATTATTATGTGCATATTATATGTATTTTTTTAATATAATGTTTTGCAAACATCAAAAATTCACAAGTAAAGAAAGAACACACCATGGCAAATTGTTTAAATAAGGAAAGTTTGTTGATCAAAATTATTTATTATAGAAAAAAACAACAATTTTTTCACCTCAAAAAAAAAAACATGCTCACAGCAAGACAATGTTGGCCCACAGAATTGTGAACTCCACTCTGTAAAGCAGGTAATCGTAATGAAGCAGTTTGTTTTATTTGTAGATTCAAGCTGCTCTTCATATTTTTGGCCACCAGATGTCACCAGACAGGACTGTGTTGAAAAGGTTTGAGAAATTAATTTTTTTTTTCCTCAAGTACTTTATTTCAGTAAAGTTTTGAGGTATTTTTTTTTTGTCCCGTTTGGATCTATAGCCATCAGAATTGTTGTCTTGAGGCCAAGAAAGATGCCAAGCGGATTTATTTTACCAAGTGGATCATCATGGCCTTGCCATAT